CAGTGGTAATTAAACAAAAGAGTGACTTTCAATAAGTATTATTTATAATCTATATTGAATATCTGTTTTTGTTTCTACGTGTCTGTTCTGACGTGGTCTAACGTTCGAAATAAAGTCTCTATTTGGTAACTTTGGTAGTTTCATAAGATTAGATTTAAATATTCTCTAAAACTCTAAAACTAAAACTCCTGTAGATAAAAGCATTGTTTAAACTAAAGACATACGTGTTGGTTTTAAGGTCAAGGTTGTATGAAAAGTGATCTCACAAGTCGCGATATAACCGCGCTAGTTTTCAAATATGGCAGGTTATTTACCGTCGGCGGTCCTTGACGCACTAGATGCTTAACCTATCTACATCGTAATACGCTATGTCTGCCAGCCTCTTTATCACATAACTCGAAATAACTCACCTAAATGTATTAACAGTCAATAAAACACATAAATAATCGATCAAAAAACTTGCAAAATTATCAAAAATGTTTCAACTGATTAGAATTTGACAGTGGTTAGTTTTTCAGAATTTAGTCTAACAAGCCAGTGTTTGTCGCTGTCAAATGAAATTGAAATTAAAATAATATCGTTATGTACGAGTACATAGACCTGTATCCTGTTATGATTTATAAAATGCCTAAAAAATTAATTAGACAAATATATTTTGCAACTTGATTTATAGTACTATAATATCGTAAATCGCGCATCCACTAACAAAAACCTGCTGCTACTCCAATAGACAACAATTCTCACAATTTAAAATCCACACACGCGTTTGATACATATGTAATTACAAAAAAAAAAATATTGAATATTAATAATAAAAAATTAATAATGTTGACATATAAATAATAAAACTGTAAAAAAAGATCGCGAGCGTTTTTGCAAAATGGCGGCACTACATATACACAAGAAAAACGTGGTCGCTCCGTCTCTGAAGATTTCCCGCTTAATTTTATTTCTGGACGTTACATTTCGCTATGTTTTATTTTTAGAATGTGATTTTCTATCGTAAGGAGGACACGAGACGCCTATGTGGATTATCGATGTAAAATGCTTGCATTGTTTAGACTTGAGATGTCAGGTATTTCGACGCGGCAATAGTGATAAGATTTTTATCTTTATTACCAAGTTAACTTAGGGAGCGGGAAAGAAAGATTCTGCCGAGCTGCACCAATGCATGATGGCAAACTATTCGAAATGTATTTATTTTATCAGACATACAAGTTTCCTCACATTTATTCCTTCACCAGCTAGCACAAGGTGAATCAGCACTTAAAATTGTAATTTTAATTGTAAAGAATTTCAGTAAGTGTGGATCGAGGTCCAGTTTCTCGCGTATCGCAAATTCGAAGCGAGTACCCAGTTGTCTGGGCTAGTGATGTAACCTTTTTATGAGCTTGATATATACAAATGTAAGTATCAAAAATTCTGTGGTTACCGTTAAATGCTCTATCAACAAGATAAAGCATTTAATTCCCGGGTCAATCCCCGCCGGCACCAATATAAATATGTAAATAGCAATTTTAAGTGCTGATTTACTACGTGCTCGTGCGAAACCGGCATGTTTTTTTTTTACGGGATAGGGTGACAAATGAGCACACAGTATTTCTGAAGATGATTGCTGTTGTGACACACGGACATCTACATCTATCCTCAATAAATAATCAAAATGCAGATGCGTTGTCACCCGTGAGGACTAAGAAGGAATGCCTTGGTTCTCCACACTCACCATACGAAACATAGCAGTATTAAGCTACCTATTTTACGCTGGTATTCTGTGAGAGTGTGGTCATTCTCCAGTTCCACACCCATTCGTGCTACAACTATACTATAATATATATAATACTATTAATATAGCTACAGCATGGCTACACTCTACCACCAAAAAAACATGTCTGAGAAATAAAAAAAATATATTTGGAAGACGTGAAGTTTGCCAACAAGCTTTGGGACAGCGCTGCGGACATTTCCTTGCCCTAAAAACCCTCTCAGAAATGAGGGAGGGGCCTGTGCCCAGCAGTGGGACGTATATATACTGTAACTTTAATTTCCTGATGTTTCGGGTGCTTTACAGCACTCATGGTGAAGGGGGGAACTAGTCTAGAAATAGATATATTAAGAAAAAGTATAGTTTTATCATATATATATACTATACGGCGGTAAACTCTCGTAGGCATAAAGTAAATAAATATTTTAGTCAAATAGTCATGTCCTCTAAACCGAATTTCGGTCACGTCGACCTTCGCAACGGAGACTAGCCAACTGCGCAGGATATGGTTATACAGGGTACGAGTGTTGATCATAATCCCATGGGACGGCAATCCGACACGACCGCTGAAGATCAGGCGCAGAAGCTAAATGCTTTTTGTGGTACGGGGGGGGGGGGGACCATTAGACCAAGAAGGCAGCCTACCAGGATCCTACTTGTATAGCTCGCTATAAATTTGACGGTTGCAAGCAAACCTAGTTTCGATCCCCGACGACACCGAAGAAATTGTTAATTCCTCGAGTGAGTCCGAAAATGAGTGGAATAATCTGCCGGCATCTGTATTTCCGTCCGATTACAACCTTGGCGTCTACAAGGCAATAGACAATAAGACAGTGTGGTTTATACCTAGGGCTTTATCAAGAAATGGTTAATGAGTACGAGGGCAGGACGTAGTCAGCATTTATTGTATAAGGGTAACAATCGAGCACACAGTTCACCTGAAGGTAGTAGACGCTGTGGTCCATGGACATTTACATTTATCCTCGATTAAGAATCAAAATGCAGATGCGTTTTCACCCCTGAGGTCTAGATCTAAGATGGAATGCCTCGTTTCGTTTCGTCTTCGCTTCTCTACACTCATCATAACAGAGCAGCATTAAGCTGCTATTTTATGCTTGTCGAATCGACCCATTCGTGCTACAACCATAATATGCAGCGAGGTTTTACCACATATAAAAAATGATATCAATAAATTCCTTATCTGATGAACTCTTTGCGAAGTAATTCAGGCGTCTCAGTTATAATACGAACTATAGATCAGAAACCAATGACCTGAGCGCCCGTACACGCATGCGAATCTCGTACATACATACACAGACACACATAGACATAGACATGACGCACATAAATACGCGACCCCAATAGTTAAATGGCAACGACCCCCCGGCTTTTTTTAAACTGCACGTCTTGTACTTTAAGTATTCGACTGTCTCACTGGTATAGTGGTCGTAGACACGGGTGCTGGTCATGAGGTCTTGGGTTCGAAACCAGTGTCAGACCATAATCAGTTATTTGGTTTTTCTGTCAAAAAATTCTCAGTATCAGAACGGAGCCAGGAACTTGGCGGTGTTTCATCCACGTGCCTCAGCAAGCACGTAAAGCCGTTGGCCCTGCACCTGATTTCTCTCTGGTCCTGGTGGTCAATGGTGGAAATTCATTTCAGTAAATTTTTAGCCATGTCTGCAGGATTTGGTGGGCTATGGAATCGTCTACTGTGTTTATTTGTAGCTATTATAATTTTTTATAGGATAGGGTGACAAACGAGCACACAGTTCACCTGATGGTAAGTGGTAGCTGTGACCCATAGACATCTACATATATTGAGGATATATAAGGAATCAAAATGCAGATGTGTCGTCACCCGTGAGGACTAAGATGGAATGCATCTTTTCTAGTAAAATGGGTCTCCGGTTCTCTACACTCACCATACGAAACACAGCAGTATCACGCTGCCATTTTACGCTGGTATTCTGTGAGAGCGTGGTCCTTCCCCGGTCCTTCCCCGGTCGAGCCGACCCATTCGTGCTACAACTATACTACTAATATAGCTGCTGCATGGCTGTACCACGTACATAACGTGTTTCTGTGACCCATTCGTGATACAACTATGGCAGATATATAGCTGCAGCATGGCTCTACCATGTATAAAACGTGGTTTGAACCAGTATTTGGTTTGCATTAATAGCAGCAGCAGGCCGTAGTCTGCAAGTTGGCAGGGTTTACCCCCGTGAGGCACGGAACGTTAAAGCACGTAAAGCCGTTGCTCCTGCGCCTGATCTCTCAGGTCGTGTCGGATTACCGTCCGTTCCGACTATGAGAGTGAAAAACTCGGTCGAGCCTACTACATACCACATACCATAAAACAGCTACAGCGTGGTTCTACCAAGTAAACTCCATCTTAGTCCTCAGAGTTGACAATGTATCCGTTGGTTACAGGTGCCCATGGAAAAGCTGCAAGTAACCATTTACCTTCAGGTGGAATGTAAGTCGGTTTGTCATTTAAATTTTACAACAAACATGCGGCTTAGAATCCGTCTGGATCATCTTGTGGTTTCCCATAGTTGGTAGTATTACTACCAGCATTTATAAGGTGTATAATATCAAGATCAGCGACGGGAAGCTGTGTCAAATGAGACCAAACAATCTGCGGGGCAGAGCAATTGCAGGCAAATCTCATTGTGGTTTTTATCTTATTTTTTTTTTAGAAACGTTAGCCCCACACTAGGATTTTCTCCTGTATTGTGGGGGCAGTTTACATATATAAAATTCACAAGGACAAACATCAAGACCCGAAACAATTATTTGTAGGCCATACAAATTTGTTCCGTGCGGATTCGACCCCGCGGCCATTAGCGGTACGAATCATTGCTAAGCCACTGCACCACGGAGCCGTCATTTTATGATAAGGGTTCTTAAATGCGGACCTTATGGCACGCGTTTTAGAAATCTTCCGCAACCTATATCTGTTCCCTATTGACCTATGAAAATACTCCCTAAATAAATAATCTCTTCAAACATAAATCCTTCGTCAAAAATAATTCCTGTATGACATGTAAAGCCAATAACTTACAGATTAAAAAAGCTTACATTGGAAAAGACACATTCCATAATTTTAACATTTCATTAAGGCATTTCAAAAATATGATGTCATTGTTGATACTTTATATTTATTATATTTAGTCTTTAATGTTATCACAGAATGCACCTTGACCGTAAACAACAAGAAATGAATACTTACCGTTTTAATATCTTCGTAGTCCTTCGTATCCAACAGCCTCCTTCTAGAAGACGGTGTTTCGGGACTAGAGTCTTCCGTTGGGTCGCTGATGGTACTCTCCGTGCTCGTCTCCATCGACTTGATGCCATCTTCCGGCTCCTTGTCATCTACTTCCTTCTCGGTGCGTTTCTTTAAATAGCTCTCGTGTTCAAAGGTTTTGTTCTCAAAACCAGTACCACTGGGAGATTCAATATCATTCTCCAGAGTCAGACGTTCATCTTGCTCAGAGTCTATATATTTAAGGTTGACCTTAGTTTTTCTGGTTTCTGGTTTCAGTTCGGTTTTTGTTAGTTCTTCGTTAATAATATTGTTTAGCTCGACTGGCTTCGATGCTTTCGGAGTGGCAGTTCCTGAAGCTATGGGCTGTGACATTTGTATGTAGGAAGCGAAGTTGGAAGTATGCTTAGGGGCTTTCACTTGCTTTTCGATATCGTTCTTTAGAGATTCTTTAATTTTAACTTCGGGACTGTTTCTAGGTAGCTTTCTTCGTTCGGTGTGGTCTAGGTCACCATTTTCAACTTGTATCACAGTGGACTTTTCTAGAATCTTCCCAATTGGATTGTTCGGGTCTAACTGACTTTTTATGCTTGCTAGCCTTTCAGATGGCAATTTCGCCGTGAAAGACATGGACATGTTAGTGACTTTGTCAACAGAGGGTTTCGCGAGAGACACTGGTTCCGATATTGTCTTACTAATCGATAGATCTGAGTTAGAATTCGATCTGGAACTAGACGATCCCACTTCCCATCTGTGGTTAATCCCATTTTTATGCTCGGCGTATGGCAAATGGACGGGCACTGGCTGGTCTTCTTTAGGAACTATTTTCGTATATCCAACAGAACCGTTCTCGCATTCCTTCAGTTGGCTCAAGTACTGTTCCACCGACGTTTTGGCCGAATATCTGGAGTCATTCGCAGGCAGCTTGGTCACCGTCATCTTCGGATCGAATCTCTTCCTAATCTCGGAGACTGTTGGCAACTCGTTTCCATTAGTGTCCTTAACGCCGTTGCACATAGAGCTTCTTTTGCTGTAGCTGGGGGTTGGTGAGCCTTCCTTATACGATCTTCTCCCTTCGGGTTTCTGGCGTTGTTGAAAGTGAAACTTAGACTGACTCCATTTACATGGACTTCATTTTGATGATTTCTGTATAATCTACGTGGACTTGCATGAATCATAATGAGGTCCATGGAAATGAGAGTTCTAGCATATAATATGACATATTAATGACTATATGCGCAATGTGATTGTGTGTTAGTTCCAACATGCTATACTGCGAGGCCCATTCAGTGTGGGCATCGTAGCCACCGCCCTCTCTACTTGTTACTACTGAGGCGGTACCGATGGAAAGGCAAAGTGGACAATATGCTGCCAAAAATGTTTTTGAAAAAGGAGCTTTATACTCTGTACGTATGGTACTTTTTGCTTTGTGACAATTCGCCTTTCAATCGCTATTAAGTGAGACAATTTTGTTGAAAGCTGAAGGTAGTAAACATGGCTTTCTTAGTGCGAAACTTGTTAATGAACGTACACACACGCACACGCGCACACTACGTTGTCTGCCTGCGAAATTGATACCTAATAAAAAGAGTATAATTTCACGTTCATATATTCCGTGGTATATATTATATTGATGTGTGACCGTGATGATATTGACCGTGTAGTGGCGGTGTAATAATATCCACTAACCCATATCTTCCCGTGGGTGTCGTAGGATACGACACAGGGAACCAGGAGATGGGTAGCAGCGTCTTTTTACTAACAAAAAACTGTGGCTGATATCTCCTTGGTAAAAGTAAAAAATTACCCAATAAAAATTACATGTAATCTATGTCTAATAAAAAAAATCTATTCTATTATATCCTATCCTTATATGAGACTCTTTCTAATGGAAACGATGCATTCCATCTTTGTCCACAGGGGTGTCAACACATCTGCATTTTAATTTTTAACCGAGCATATATGAGAGAAGAAGAGAAGAACTACAGACCGATTTCCCTTCTGAGCCGCGTCTACGTGCTGTTTTCGAGAGTCATTACGAATCGTCTCGCGCGCAGACTTGACGACTTCCAGCCTCCCGAACAAGCCGGTTTCCGAAAGGGCTTTAGCACCATAGACCACATACATACCCTTCGGCAAGTTGTACAGAAGTCCGAAGAGTACAATTTGCCACTATGTCTGGCGTATGTGGACTATGAGAAAGCCTTTGATTCCGTCGAAATTTGGGCGGTGCTGCAGTCCCTTCAGCGGTGCCAAGTTGACTGTCGGTATATCGAAGTGTTGAAGTGCTTGTACAGTAGGGCTACGATGGCTATCCGAGTACAGAACCAGAGTACGAAACCTATCCAATTGCAGAGAGGTGTAAGACAGGGTGACGTCATATCCCCGAAACTCTTCACCGCTGCATTGGAAGACGTTTTCAAGCTTCTGGACTGGAAAGGATACGGTATCAACATCAATGGCGAGTACATCACTCACCTTCGATTTGCCGACGATATAGTCCTTATGGCAGAATCGCTGGAGGACCTAAGCACTATGCTCAATGACCTCAATAGTGTTTCCCAACGGATAGGTCTTAAGATGAACATGGACAAAACTAAGATCATGTTTAATGTCCATGTCACACCTATGCCGATAGTTGTTGGGAACACTAAGCTCGAAGTTGTTGACGAGTATGTTTACCTGGGACAAATAGTCCGACTGGGTAAGTCCAACTTCGACCGAGAGGTCAATCGACGGATTCAACTCGGCTGGGCAGCGTTCGGGAAGCTACGACACATCTTCTCGTCAGACATACCTCAAAACCTTAAAACGAAATTGTACAACCAGTGCGTGTTGCCAGTGATGACTTACGGAACTGAGACGTGGTCCTTCACTGCTGGCCGTATGAGGAAGCTCAAGGTCGCTCAGCGAGCTATGGAGAGGGCTATGCTCGGAGTTTCTCTGCGTGATAAACTTAGGAATGAGGATATCCGCAGTAGAACCAGAGTGACCGACATAGCCCAACGGATTAGTAAGCTGAAGTGGCAGTGGGCCGGCCATATAGCTCGAAGAACCGACAACCGATGGGGAAGAAAGGTTCTCGAGTGGCAGCCTCGTACCGGTAGGCGAAGTGTAGGGCGTCCCCCCACGAGATGGAGTGACGACCTGGTAAGACATGCAGGAAGTCGATGGATGCAGGTGGCTCAGGACCGTGTTTTGTGGCATTCTTTGGGGGAGGCCTATGTTCAGCAGTGGACTTGTGAAGGGCTGTAATGAATGAATGAATGAAAAAAAATATGTAGATGTGTATGGGCCAGTGTCCACGTACCGTGAGGTGGACTGCGTGTTCGCTTGTCACTCACTCTTCTTCTATAAAAAAATACGAGTCAATTGACTTTATGTTGTAATGGTGATGATAATGGTAAAATCTTAATATTTCTAACAGTTCCTAGCTTTTAGTCCGCTATGACTCTGCAGGCCTCCGATACGAGACGTCATTAGTCCCTGTACTGATTTCGATCATAATATCTTCAATTATTTATTAACTGTATGTGAATACCTCTTATTTAGAAATTGCATAGACTAATGTTTAGGCCTTATTGACCCATGGTTATGTCATATCGAAGTCTAATCGTCAGAAGAAAAAATTAGCCGTGGGGTTTTAGATAAGGTTAATCAAACCCAACTTTTACTTTTTAACTTTGATACGAATCAAAACCGAAAATAATTACCGGGAAAAATCAATTTAGTTGACGCTTTTTAATTTTATTGTGTTATATCATAGCAATATAAATAAATTAGTTAAGTGGAAAAAAAAAAAACTACGAAGTCACGGTATTTAATAGCGCCGTTCATCGACCTGTATTATATTTGAGAATCAGATAGGGTTGCCACTTCATTGATAAAAGCTCGAGATGGTATTTATATGTATGTGTGATACGAATCTAAATGTAGTAAGTCGAAAACGGGGTAAAGGGGTGAAGACAAGCCAAGAGTCTGGTTGTCCGATGGTGGAAGGGAGAAGAAGGAATTAAGTTATATGATAGTGTTTTAATTTAAGAATGGATTTACGCTATTGGAAAAGCGAAGAGAAGATATCAAAGAGCTTATGGTCAAGCACTGGCTTATAATAAGTATAAAAAATTAAGATTTGAACATGTAGAAAAAAAAAATTCATGTTTTGTCTGTTTTCTATTTAAGGCCAAGAATTCTCCAGACAGCTTGCTTACCAGTTTCAAAAGGTAATAAGTAAACAATGAATCATGACGCACAGACGTCGGCACATACGCATCACGACGTGGTCTATTTATATATAAGATCAGTAAATGGCTTCCAGCGAATCGATGGAGCACGAACGTTGCGTCGCGCGCATTAACCTGGTGACATAACGTGGACATGCCGTATCATATAGGGTTGAAAACTTTTTTAAAGTGGACATGCCATACAATGTAGGGTTGCCAACTTTTTTGAAATAAGGGTAGGGACCTAAAACTTTAGCTCATATTTTTTGCTATTTTTTGCTACAGTACTTAGTTATTATTACTGAAGACGACTAGTTTAGTGGCTCTTGAGTTCAGAACTGGGTCGGATTTCACCGCGTAGATCTCCAGGCAATGCCAATGGCGACGCACCCCTTTTCTTTATTCTAGCTTCCTTCATTTATTTTTTTATTCCGGAGGCCTTTGGGCGTTAGGACTGAAAAACAAATGCCTATTTCGCCTAATCCAGCCTTTGTTAGTAAGTTGATAAAACTATATAATATTATGTACATGTTTTTTTTTTTAAGAATAAGGGTGACAAACAATCTCATAGTCCACGTGATGGCAAGTGATGCTTATAACCAATGATGGCTCTACCACGTAAAATATTATATTAAAGGATTAATAAATTATACGTAATGATATCATATGATAACGCGAACACTACACATTTGATTAAAACTAGCTTTATGGATATTAACTTACATAACCGAAGTTATTTTTCATAGAAGAGGGGTGACTACCGCCGCCCATGAACAACTGCAACACCAGGGGAATTGCAAGTGCGTTGCCGGCCTTTTAGAAAGGAGTAAGCTCGTTTTTTGAAGGTCTCTCAGTCAGTCGTATGAATCGGTGGAATCGTTTCCCGCCGGCGTGGTCGTACGAGGAAGAAAACTCGTAGTAAATCGCACAATGGTAGACCAGATGGTGTGGATGGTACGTTTCGTGTACTTTACAGCGCAGCGCCAATGTTCACGAGGGCTAATATAAGTTAATATACACGATAAAATACGTAAAAACTAGTTTCATTAAAATTATACGGAGTTCAGCACAGGCCTCTTATTTCTACTTGATTTATGGAACAATAACTACGCCCAAAGTGCCGGATTATCCATAAGGTAAACAAGGCACGTGCCTAGGGGCGGAAGGTTAAAAAGGGACGGAAGTTTTTACACCAAAAAATTGGTCTATATGATTACTCCTACATCACGCCATTTCATTCACGCCCACCTGTTTGTTAAAGGTACTAGTATCCTAATTATTATGCAACTATTAATGTATTTTAATAAATTATAATTATATATTAAATAAAACTAATTTTTACGGATTTTATCCCGTTTAATTTAACTTTTTAAATCCCGACGTTTCGGGTGCTTTACAGCACCCGTGGTCAAGGGGGGGTTGAGGTGTTTGACGTCCGGATGTCATAGTTAGCCCGGCTACCTTCAGTTTTTGAATATTAATTTTTAATCCGATCTACGCAGAATAAGCTTAGATACTGTAATCTTGAAGTCTTGCAGTGGTATGCTTGGGTTTGAATTTAATTTTATTAATAATAGGATCCCAAGCAGATGGCAGCACCCATCCATCTTCTCTATTGAAATTAGGATGTTTTTGATTTTAATAGCCTCGCGAATCATCCTTGGCTGGAATCGGTGTTCTTTTGCGAGGATTTGTGTTTTGTCAATCTAATATAATGGCGGGGACGATCTAGAACATGTTCACACACTGCAGACTTCCCGGAACGTCGGTGCTTCAAGTCAGCTATATGTTCTTTCACGCGGGTTTACGGGTGCGGAATGCCAGCCACTTATTCCAATCCTTTGCTGTACGCATGACGCACGATGTCGCAAACTGTTTGGTTCGAATGTTTACAACGCAAGGGTGGAGAGAGATCGAGTGTCTGGTGTAGATTATGGAGATGGGCACCATGTATGTATGAGTAACCTATGGCTATAATCTATACTGCCATAAATTACCTCATAGGATTGCCATAATTGGCGAATTCAGTTCAGGACTTATCATTGTAGGTTATTTTTAAATCAAGACATTGTTTGAATTAATTGTACAGTTTATTGAATTTTTTTTAAACTGGCTTTACGGTTCTGGGTTCTAGCCCTTCTGAGCCTTATTGAAATAAAAATTAAGTAAATATTATAGAGTATATTTATTACTATATAGTTATGTATGTTTGTATATTTATATAGTTTAGTAAAACGTTATTGTGTATTTATAATGTAGTCTCATCATTTATTTTTTGCATTGCTACTTCTATGTCAAATATTCATCCCTCTATTGTTGGAGTAGAATACAATTTTGAAGTATATGTCAACCCTTTGTATCCTATCTTGGTAAATAGTATTTTATGCGCTGCCATACCGTTCATCAGACGTGGTAAAACTTTGTAAACTTATTGCCTACACTTGCGCGAAGGATATAGGCATAGTACAATTAACTTACAGTAGGTGGCGGGCGTATCGTAAAGACAAATTTATTTAAAAGTTATATGTCATTCAAGTTCAATGAATATATTATCATTCCCAATTGAACAATAAAACTATTCCAAAATTAAAACACTATTTCCGCAATTGTTTCTTTTGTGGTGGCTACCCGCTGAGAACCAACTAGTAAATAATAAATAAATATATAACAACACCATTTTTCAATTTCGCAGACATCCAACGCAATAACTATACATAGAAATGTAATTACACTAGTTATTTACCTCTGTTATAGTTGCTGCGGTGGAATTCCTGGCCCTTCTCGTTGTCCTATACGAGTCTGGGGCGGGTGGTCGCCCAATGTCATTTGAGATTGACTTCGACCTGGATATATCCCCATAGTTACTCTGGTTCTGTTGCTGCTGTTGTTGTTGTTGTTGCTGGATCCTTTGCGTCAACGGTATATAGTTCGCAGGAGAGTATTTATTATACAGTTCTGCTGTGGACATTGCTAAAGCAGCAGTACTGATAACATTCCTCTTTGGGTTTCTGGACAGTTCTGCCTTACTGCTTTCACTGCGCGTCGTTGATATATCTCTTGATCTAGATTCACTTCTGTCTGTTCTATATCTGGTGGATATCCCACTGTCTGAGTCCGTCACACTGGGTGCTCGTGAGTTCCTGCTGTACTCCACGAGTGAGGTCTTCCTCTCCCTCTTTCCATCGACATCTGAGTACCTAGATCTGTATTCTGTCGTTCGGTCTCCATAGGAACTTCTCAACGTAGACGTAACATATGTTCCACTACTGGATCTGTAATAAGGCTTATCTAAACTCGACGAAGACGTCAACGTAGAGCGATAGGAGCCCGAAAGGCTGGAGGAGGTAGATGTGTATCGGGAAGGCGAGACTACAGGCATCTTGGACGTAATTTGTTTCACTTATGGCCTATGCAGTTATCACATAGTTTGCTTAGTTTAGGTCGAGACGAGGTGTCAATTTGATTCTTGTAGGTGGTCGTTTTCTTTGCATCTTTGGGTTAGACCTGGAATAAAAGTTGACGGTTAGATTAAGTAGATAAGACTGGTCATTAAATTTAGTAGTACACTGAAGCAGGATTATGGCTAAAGCACTTGCACCGAGTAAGGATTAAGCTCTTAAAGAATAAAATCCCATAAACATCCCACTCCTGGGCACAGGCCTCCTTCTGAGAGGGTTTTAAGCCAAGGAAATGGCCGCCGCATTGCCCCAATACGTGGTAAATCGGCACTTAAAACTGGTAAAATTGTATTTAACGATTTCAGTGGTTTGGGCTGGGATAGAACCCTGGTTGCTTTATAATGAAAAAGAATACATAATAAAATAAATGATCATCATAGCCTTATAATATGCTAATATGGAGGTTTGTTGCCCAGCACATCATTACAATTAAAATTAATAAGTCTTAAAATGTCTTAAGTATGTAGCAGATACCATGATTTTGGCAAGTCTACAATAAAGTCCAACCTTTGTGCTTCTCAGTTGAGATGTGCAATATTTATAATAAATTTATCAATATTAGGTCAAGAAAAAAATTTGCACAGGAAACACATGCTAGTTGTTTTTTTTTTGAAACATTGTTTATTTTCCATAGGGTTGCAATATTTTTGTATTTTTTCCTAAATTATTTCCAATTTATTTTTAGATTTATAAAATATATTATGTAAATTAAAATTAAATGAGCAAATGTTATATTGGCTTTGAAAAAGTTTTTCTCAAATATTTAAGTTTATTATAATTTAAACTAAAAACTTGTTTAAGTACTAGCAACCCACCCTTAGATGGCCTAATAGGATTTTTTAATGTGTCATTATTTATATTTAAGTTAATCATCACCATATTTTTTATAAATTGTTTGTATTTGTGACCATTTCTTTTATCAATTTTTGTTTTTTTTTCTTCTTTGTAAAGTTTCATTACAATCTGTTCAGCCATTCTATGAATTAGTCTGGATAGATCTACAGATGAAAATTTTAAAAATAGTTATTTACATCTGAATATCATGTAAATAACTCAAGTTATTTCAATATTACAGACAGACACTTCAATTTTATTTAAATTTTAATTATGTATAAAAAGTAGTCTTCAATATGTCACACAGGCATTATCTCATTTCTGAGAGGGTTTTATACATAATAACATTAAAATTATATAACTGAGTATCGTTAACCCAAAGTATAATAATATAATTACTAAAAAAACATTGCAGATCATATTTTTAAGCAATATCATGTAATAAGAAATTGTATTTACAATAGTATTCATGTAATATATAAGTTTTTGCATTTAAAGTATTTTTCTTGATATTCAAAATTATAAAAAGCAGACACCAAAAAATTGTCTACTGTCTGTTTGTCTCAATTTAACTTATAAACCACTACTTTTTAAAAATTATCAGCCGCTGTTGTAAGTAAAAGGAATATATGTACATACAAAGTGTTTTTTTTTGACACCTTCACATTCTGAACCATTAAAAAAAGGGACTACTATTATATAAATATAAAATAATTATGTTTATCTCCCTTTTTTATAGTTTTGTATATAATTTCACTCATGGAGACAGAGATGGGGTTAAATAATATATAAATGTAGTAGTATTTTATATTTTAAGTAGCAGCAGTTATACAGAATCATTTGAATGTCCACTTATTATATTTGTTATTTGTATAATAAAAAATAATATCTAAAGATAAAATATTAAAATCATACTGATGATTATGAAAGAGATTTTTATTACTATATTTATAGTGCCTTATTATACTTACAGATAATAGATCTGCAAATCAAATAAGGTACTAATATAAATATAGTAATAAAATTGGTTTGTTGATGTAATACATGCAATACAATTGAACTCAAAACCTTTAACTAGTTTCTCAACAATGTGAAACCACATAATAATGGACAAAGGAATTTTCTGGGCTGTTTACCATGGGCATTTGAATTTACTATGTCAAGGTCACGGTTTATTTCCATTGATGGATATTTCAACAGTTGTAGGACATTGGATTCCACATAGTCCTGTCCTTAGCAGCTCACTGACACTGAAATTTGATATGTATCGTAGGCAGAAGGAATAGCACTCGGATCTTCAAGGCCATGCAAGATCTGACGATGCACATAACGTACAATTTAATTGACCACTTGCACACCACTCACCCGATGCGGTGTCCGCAAAATCACCATATACACACCGAAAATACGCTCCTTGTGCTAAAAATAGCGTCTCCAAAAACGTTTTTGCATGACACACAAAATTTGACAGAATTCCGCACAGTAATTTAATTTGCCGTCAGATCACGTGAAACCGTCGCAATTGTAATCGATTGTGAATTATCACGAAATATGTGCGATATACTCACGAAATAATAGGATTGCAGTAACCAAAGCAACTAGAAAACTCGTCTTGTAAAACTTTAATGCTCTGTACTTTTTATATAAAATCACCTCCTTCGTATAAACACTTTTTAAGTCACTTTCCTAATATTTTAGTAAAAAATGGAGCGTATAGGTTTAATGTCGTCTATTATTTTTCTTTGGCTCATGTAATTTTAGACGTGCAAAGGCTCCATGGCTCCATTTAGTGACGTCACTTTAATTGTTGGTGTTGGCAATCCTATTTTAAAGTACTTCCGTATCAAATATATCGAGACCTTTGTTCCCTTGACATAAAGCTTATGTTTCATAATATGACGGCAAAAAGACTTAACTAAACAGTGTTGCTGTCAACAAAATTATCTCAATATCTTTTTCGTACTGTCATAAATGCGTTTATTCTCAGGTACATAAAAAGAAATTTTGTTATTTTACGAAATTAATAAAATAAAATATAGTTCTAGGAATTATTACTAATTTTAATTTTTAAAAACAAATAGACATAATTCTGCTACTCAGTACAAGATGGCATAATAATAAATTTAAGTGTCGAATTTTTTCATCCAGAGATGGCAATGAGTGTACTTTAAAAATAAGGGCTAATATCTTCTGTTCACTAGATGTCACTAGTTAAGATTAAAGTGATGTTTTTGTAATAAAATGTCTTAAGCCGCGTATCCACCAAAAATGTTGACAACAGTTATATTTCCAACTGTTTACAACTGTTTCCAACAAGCGTCTCCACCGAGGGAACAAATGTTGGCAACAAGCGGATTCCTTTGATGTTGCCGCCGAAAATGGAAACAAGTTTTGTTGGCAACTGTTGTGTTGGCAACAAAACTTTGGTGGAGACGGGCTTTATAATTGAGAAGTTGCGTTTTACAAAACGTATATCAGTTTCTAGAGTATTATATAAACACACAAAACATTGCCTCAGTTGTTTGTTTCATAATATTTTTCAAATTTTTTAACCCTTTTTTTTTAATTTTTCTACTTTTAGAAATATCCGTAGTTTGATTGATTGATTTATAATCCAATAAATATAAAATGTAACTAATATTGCATAATGAAAAATTAACCCTTACATTTTCCTCAGAGGGGGATTAAATGTTGATAGCGCTCTAGGCTAGCACCACATGGGCGCCCCTCTGGCGGAATATTAGGTCGGAGAAAAAGATATATGTGCCATTTTGTTCCATAACTTGTTGCCATCTTGTAGGTAGTGACATAATCTCGTTGTTGTAGAAATCTTGGGATTTTTGATAATTTTTTGATCCCTCCCTCCTTTTTGGCGGGATCTACGCAAAATAAGCTTACAGTATCTTGAAATCTTGCAGTGGTATGCTTGGGTTTGGGTTTAATTTTATTAATTATAGAATCCCAAGCAGATGGCACCATCCATCCATCTTCTCTATTGAAATTAGGCTGTTTTTTTAATTTCAATAGCCTCACGAATCATTCTTTGTAGAAATAGGTGTTCTTTTGCGAGGATTTGTCCCATTTTGCGAGATTTGACCACTGTAAGACCTCAAGATACTGTTTTTTTTTATAGGATAAGGGTGAAAAACGAGCACACAGTCCACCTGATGGTAAGTGGTTGCTGCGGCCCATAGACATCTACATCTATCCTCGTTTGCGAATCAAAATGCAGATGCGTTGTCACCCGTGAGGACTAAGATGGAATGCCTCATTCCCAGTAAAAAGGGCCTCCGGCCACCTGCACTCTCCAAGCGAAACGCAGAGGTAAACCTTTACTTCACGCTGGTATTCTGTGAGGTCGTGGTACCACCCCGGTTCGAGCCTGCCCATCCGTGCGACAGCAAAAGCTGCCGCGTGGCTCTACCACTGTTAAAGTAAGCTCATTCTGCGTAAAAATTAATATTTAAAAATTGGGGGAATACTTACCATAGTTTCCACGGTTGTTGCCCATCTCTTATTATATTTCTCTTTGTCACCTCTCACGATACCCACGGCATGATATTAATTTTTTACGGTTATCATCATCATCATTACAGTCCACTGCTGACCATAAGCCTCCCCAAGGAAAGTCACAAAGCACGGTCTTGAGCTACCTGCATCTATCGACTTCCTGCATAGATATCTACAGCTTCAGCTTCTTAATACTTCAGCTTACTAATCCGTTGGGCTAAGTCAGTCACTCTGGTTCTACTACGGATATCCTCATTTCTAAGTTTGTTACGCAGAGAAACTCCGAGCATAGCCCTCTCCATCTCGCTGAGGAACCTTCAGGTTCCTCATGCGGCCAGCAGTAAAGAAACACGACTCAGATCCATATTCCGTTACTGGCAACACGAACTGTTTGTTTAGTCTAGTTTTCAAGTTTTGAGGTACGAGTAGTATACCTGAAGTGAAGATGTATCGTAATTTCCCGAAAGCTGCCCAGTCAAGTTGAATCCGCCATTTGTCCTAGGTAAACATATTCGTCGACAACTTCAAACGTAGTTCTCGAAGTAGTCGAGTATTTGTTAGGTATTGGAAGTTAATT